GCTAAGATTGTCTTCATTATAACTTTATATTTGATTTTCAATAATTTAGTTTTGATTCGTTTCATAGACTACTATAAACACCTTTTAGCTACTATTTTTCTTTTCTTTGTTTTTGTGAGTTTCTTTGTTTGAACTCGTAAAACCCTGTTATACACTGAAAGCTCATAACTATTTCATACTCTGTACACTAATATATATATACCATTACATTATTGTTTATTTTATGTGTAGTTTTATTAAATAAAGTTACGTCTAAGTGAGTTTGTTTGTCTGACCGCGTGAAATTTTTAAAACAGACCAGGATGTATCGATTTAACACATAATGCCTGCAAGAAAGTGTAGCTTAAATGGCGTGAGTGAATATGATAGAATAAGGAAAATTCAAGGGAAGGCCATGAAAGCTACCTCAAATGTTTTGCGGTTAGCAGTTATGATATTACATGAGACTTTCTGGGCAGTGTAAATCTGAAACTTATTTCTTAAACCTGATTCTGTTCTGGAAAAATATATATATTACCATATAATAAGATTCAGTGTCTGTGTGTCACGTAACTCCTCCCAAACTGCTGATCGCACCGAATTCTAAATTACACCAAACGAATCGTCTCGGCCCAGAGATTTGCACAAAGGTAAACTTTTCACATAATCCCTTAGGGAACTTTGGTATTTCACAAAAACACTTTTACGGGGATTCCCTAAAGCAGACCAGTGCCGAATTAACAATGAAGCACATGTTCCAGAGCCGCCAACATTGTTATAATAAATTCACAAAAAATTTTTATTTGATCAAGATATTTTCCCTGACCAATAATTGTTTAAAATAATTGTTAGTTTTAAATTAACCTTTTTATACTTTCTACAATTTGAATGAAAATTGAACATTGACAACGTATATAGTTGATTGTTATTTATGACAGTTGACTGACAAGTGTATGTCAAAAGTCTTTCTCATAAATGAAGCTTATCAAGAATGAGCTTTGTTCTACTATGAGGCAGTAAAGACATAAAATTTTGACCATACTCTATACTGAAGTAGATATCCTGCCAGCACTAAATATAAATGAGATTATATCAGAATTCCCAACAACTAAAGATGATCTAAATAATTAGGGAAATTATGAAATATTTTGAACTGTTGTTATGTTTTTAATTGTAATAGATTCAATATTAAACATTGTGTTTACTATTTCAAAGCACGTAAATAATTAGGCCTGCTAATTATAGTTCGTAATTTGGTTACAAAAATCAATTTACATTATAGCGATCCTGTAAATATTCGGCCATAGGCCCACGGGTTCGATAGTATATTTAAAAAACATTGTAAACACAGTCTAAACAGCAAACACTTTCCACAAGTTTACGGTCTAGACATGAAAAGCTGGCAAAGCATTATAAACCAATAGGTCTAAAATTTGTGATAAAAATTACATACACTACATATGTTTTCTTGTTTTTATTTTTCCACCTTACTCGTAATTTTTCTAACTCGTATTTAAAATAATATTTTATTTAAGAGTTTGTTTTCTTTTCGTAATACTATATTCAAAAGCACTTAAATAATTTCTGTAACAATAACGAACTGCACTTCGAAACTCACGCGATACGAACTTACGCTATAATACTAATAGTATAGTCATGATGTTTCAAAAAACGGTGTTATCGGACTGAAGACATAAGTATGTCTTAATTGATTTAAGAAATGGAAATCATTCTTGCCAAAAAACTTTATGACACACTTTTAAAATCTATGGGAAATCAGCAATGTAAAAGTAATGCAGTTATAGAATATTACTTTGATTCTGAAGAAAGGATAACTGAAAATGAAGATTTCAATAAAGCTTCCTCAAGTTGTGATAGCTGTATTCGTTTTTTCAGTTTTAGCGATGATGGAAGAACTGAAAGGGTGTACTTTATGAAATTGAACGACTCGCCAAACTGTTCTAATAACGAATGCGAACTTTGTCATGACCTTGTTGGCTTTTGCGTTGAAGATACTCCCTTCTCACTGAAAAACAACGGCTCAAAATTTTCGCAATTATCAGATACTACAAACACCCCACTTCATAACAGAGAATTTATTAAATGGGTTCCTAATAACTTTATGATAGATGATGATTTTTATTATGATTTAAATTCGCTAGAATTTGAGACAGAAGAAAAAGGCTTAGCATCCGAAAGAGGTATTTTTCTACGAACTAATAGGCCTAGTAACGAGGAAATAAAGAAAACGTTGGTCAAATCTAATAATTGTGATACCATCGAAAATAACGAAACAGCTATGGAATTGTACGATATTAAAACTGTTTCAACAGTTCCCTATAAACCTGAAATCACGAAGAACAATATTTCAAAAGATAGCTTAAGTTTACAAACTACAACCCAAACCGGCCTATCGAAACGCGCAGAAAAAGATGAAGAGACTGAAGACGAATCATTGATACTCATATGCGAATCAATTGGCCAGCCTGTTCAGCAGTCTACCCCTCGTCGCCGTTTTTCAGAAGCTGTGAATATAGAATACCTTCGAGTCATCTTTGCTGCAGAATCTCGTGTAATAACAAGTTACCTGCATTATATTTCTTCACGGAAGTCGAAAAAGGCCTCTCTCGTTTTCCTTTCCATTTTTTTTTGTTTCTTTTTAAGATATTAACATATTACGTTTTCGGTTACTGTCATTTAAAAATCAGCTTGGTAACCTGGGACGTTCATAGACCCTTGATAAAGGCGTAAGCCGAAACGTCGGGTACAAGTAATTAAACTTTTTTTCTGAAGTTGTTTGTCGTCTTCGTTAAATAATGGTTTCTATCCTTTAGTCAACACTGAAAATTTTTAAAAACGGTAATATATTTACTGTTATTATCCATTTTTTCTTTACTTTCAGATAATGGCGCATTTATATGTTCAACAAGAAAAAGATCAAACATTTTCTATGAGTCAGTCAAAAAACCAAATGCTACTGAGTCTCATGGGATCCTTTTTTGGAGACTTGCAAGCTGAACCCGGAAAACGAAACAAGTGTGATATTCGAGTTAACTGGATAGGGGATATTCACGAGAAAACAATGCAGTTTCTTCAAACTCACCAAGTATTTACATTTTATGACAACCAAAGGTATGTATGGAACCACATCGGAGAAAATAAGTATCCTACTCAACATGAATGAAAGGCTTATGTTCTGAATGAGAAAATAACTATCTGAGGTCAGAAAACTCATAATAAACCTGTTTTTATTTCCTTAAATTTAATTTCTGGATATATACAGGTCGGTATTTCTCTAGTGTTATAGATAGATAGCAGCTTCAGTAAATGACGTTTATCTCGAAACATTTAACCCTGTAAACATCAGTTTGACAATAATGCGAAGTATTTTTATTTCGGTAAAAAAACAAAATATAAATACAACTGCTTAATTACCTATTCTTATGATATGTTCTTTGCAAAAATAAGACATATATATATATATATATATATCCCTGCCCGTAGCCAAGGTAAGCTCGGCCTAACCCCCACAAACGAAGAAAGGTTATACTATTTTGTAACTTACTAAAGTAAGTGTAGAATAAGATAAATCTCGCCATTCAACCATGATTTATTAAGTTTCATGGTTACTAATAGTAATAGTTACATACTTAATAGCAATAACACCATAGAGTTTAAAGATGTACTCCACAAAAATAATGAAAACACCCAAAACGACTGTTTTTTAGAAACTTGGTATCTAAAATAGATCCTCGAATTTAATTTTATGTTTTCTGGCATGTTAATAAAGTGCACCTACATAAAACCACGTCAGTGCCACATACTTCCTTGTTAACATAAGCAAAAATTGAATTTAGTTAAAGAACTCACAACTTTCATACCATGGTCGCGGATTCAATATTCATAATACATGTTGAACAATTTCTGAGGTCGCGCGAAGATGAAGAAGCTTAGAAACATGACTATGAAATACACCATCATCAACGAAAAAATATTAAAGTTTCAAGGGCTATTAGATGTTTTACCTGTCTTAAATAAATAAATAAATATATATATATATATATATATATATTAAAAGCGATTACAGAGTACTTTCTTAAGAAGCTGATGAAGATATTTACATCACTTATCTAGAAGACTAGCCACTCGAAATAGACATATCTTTACATTACATCAGGAACTTGTAGATCATTTCATTACGATTTTCATCTGTTTATGCGTGTAACTGTTAAATTGTTCATCGATTACATTAAAATTAATGGCATATTTGACTGAGAATGATAAAATACTATTTTAATGAAACTGTAAAGAAGTTTATGGTATACTGTTTTTATACTATTTTTTTATTCTTTAGGCTTGATGACATATATGATGCAGTCCTCGTTCTTTCTTCAGATGCCAGCGCACTCATACGTCATGAAAACCTAGCCTTTTTAACTACTTTACGCCACCTACTAGACACTAATGAGACAGGCTTATTAATTCTAGTAGATCCTATTGTTTAACAAAGCCAACAAGATTAACTTTCTTTTAATTTGGAAATCGATCTTTTCAAAATTTAAAACTATTATTATTTTTTAAATTCTGGCTTTAAAAAAAAACAACAGATTTTATGGTATAATGATTAGTAATATTAGTGCAAATAAAATGTTAAAAATGTGAAGAGATAAAGTACTTCCTTAATTGTCATTTATTGAAGTTATTTCATAACTTTCAAAAATCATTTAGTCCTGAATTTAAATAGCAGTTGTTTCATGTTCCTTAAGACACATTCAAATGTAATTTTGTAGCAATAAAATAAAATTGTAGATGTAAGAAGCAAAAAAAAAAATGTTAATTTACTGCATAATTTATACACAATATAGTTGAAAACAACTAGCTAATTTTTGTGCAGAGATGTAAAGTAAATCATGTAATGATTTCCAACAGACTTCCCATGAGACACGAAATGTCAATGTTGTTTCCATACAATTTGACATAGGAATAATTTAGAATGAAGTAAATCTCATGACCATCAAAGCTGAAGTGAAAAATAATTATTTATAAAGAGGAAAGTTTTACAGTTACAGTTTGTTTGAATTATATTAACAGTTCGACACACTCCTAAAAAGTTGATTATGAAAAATAAAAAGATTGTTTTCAAGGTATAACTCATTACTGAACTGTACTCTTGAAAATGATATTCGTAATACTTTTAAAACATACTTTTCAAGACTGTCCACCTTTTTGAATATTTCATAATCTGACAACATCTGGTAAGGTCAAAGTTATTTCAAATCACTGGCTACTGGTACTCAATACCATAAAAAACCTCTATTAATTCAATACAAATTTCTTTAGATAATCTTGAGTGAAATACTATTGTAGTCTATAAATATTATCTATCTGCTTTTTCAGTCCGAGATTTTTTTTCTGCTTGCTTCTGTTTTATTTTTTCTATGTATTCTGTTTCTTCCCAAGGACGAGGTCCACGAATGTTTTCCCAGTTGCTAATGTCCATCTCTTTGATTTTCTGATAAATAAAAATACATTTAAAATTTAACTTTATCTTTCACATTTGATCTAGCTCTAAACTTCCAAAAATATCATTATTTTCTGAATGTATGTTAGATTTTTTATGTCTGCTTATTATTCATAGTCCATTTTTTTATCTAAGGATACATAATTATAACAACTGCATGTGTACCCTTAAATTTCCCTTTGTTTTCTACTAAAGCATTCTGCATGTTTAAAAATATATGAAATGGAATCTAGCTGTACAAAATTAATATTTATATGTATTCAAAATAAAATATTTAAATATTAAAACTGAAAGTTTAAATCTTTTACACTGTCTTCAAACTGTGACAGCAAGACTTTATCCAAATGATTGAAGACAATATAACCACAGAAAACTTTTGTTTATAAGTACTCTCTCTACACAACAATTACATCACTCTGGCTGTAGACCCTATGAACTTCTTTATTAGTTACAACTGTTCAGAGTTCTGCCCAGAAAGTGGCTGTCTGGTAAGGTAATGCCAAGAGAAACAATTCCCTCCATCCAACTAAATGATTAGACTTTGAGATGCCACATCAGCCTCATTTTTGCTTTTCAATCTTTAATGAAATCTGTGGCACTTTACTAATATATTTATCGTAGAAATTCAATGTTTTAATTTCTTTTTATTGTTATTAAAAGGCCACTTGATCAAAAGCAAGAACATGGAAATCTCTCTATGGTATCATCACTCACTATACCCAGATCCCTTATAATACCAACTTTTTTCCATTTAAAAGTCATCAAAATTTTTAATTGACTTTACACTAAGAAATTATTAGAGCAATGTAAAATAATGTTTGGATTTTTGTCTTACTTTTTCATGTACTCTTACTAAAGATTTTACTATCTGTAAAGATGGGCAATTACTTGATATTCTATGATCATCAATTAGTGTCATGAAAATAATCAACTAATCTAAATTGGTGCTTTTGATTATTCCAACTAATCAAGTAGTCAAAATATTGCCATTATGATTTGTTTAGCTTAATCAATTATTGTAACAACTCAAGAAAATAATCATCTAATCAAAATTAATGTTTCTGATTATTACTATTTTCAACTATCCAAGTCTCGTATGAAAATAATTGCTAAGTTAAATGTAATCAATTAATGAGCCGATGATTAATGGTTATCAAATTCCACTAATTGTCCAACTCTTCACTACTTGACATTGTTATTACTAGTTTACTGATAATGTACCTCATATTCTGTTTCAAGAGTCACTTCTCCTTTCTTTTTCATTTTTATTCCATACTTTTCTACCTCCTCTGCTGAAAGCTGATAGTATGCAATGTAATAAAGTAAAAAGGAAAATGATGATACAAAAACATTTATGAAACTTTGTATTTCATGTTAACCTGTTCAAAAAATACAAATATACATCACAATAAAATATAGGTTATGCCAAAAAAATTGTAGCTGAATGATAAAAAGATACCTATATACCCAAAAACATATGCATACAAAGAGAAGAAAAATGTATACTGAACCACTTAACTTTATGCAAAACACAAGGAAGGAATTCATGTTTATATATTTGTTCCCTCATTTTTAGAATATTTAATTTAATTTTATTGGTTATTGAATATTCTGTACAAGAAACAACTCATATGCTACATGGTATTAGTGGACACAATATGTCAGTATTAATTAAAACCTAAGCTTAAATACTGATTGCAACCCTCCATCAAAGACACAAAATGAATGGTAATATAAGTTATCATCAACAGACTATCTGTACTTTTACTCATTTTATGTTTTTGAAGAAAGGTTGTTATTAATGCAAAAGCTGAGAGTTAACATAAATATTTACATTTTTCTATATCCTACCCATTTTACTTGTATTATGTATTCTTTTTTAAATCCAATTTGTATAAGTGGTTTTGCTCCCATTAATTAGGTGCAATGCCAATATGGAAGTCATAACAAACAATGCACAATGTAAAGTTGGACAACAATCATCTATATTTTTTATTTGTTTATACACACTGCAACAAACAATAAGAGTCAGGAAGAAAGGGTGTATGTCTAATTCAATCTCTGTGTACCACAACACAAACTAAATAAAACACATCTACTCACAACTATTTGTGCCTACTTTTCCAAATGATTGAGGGTGATGGGTGTATTCTTGCTTAGCTTCAGAGTGCTCAGCAGTACTTTCAATGAATTTTTGGGGTGTTCACAACTGGATCATTATTCTCAGATAAAAAGTTTTTCTTTACTGTAAACTGGCTTTATATTCAGTTTCTTCAGTATGTCTTAACAAAGGTAAATTGTAATACTTGATATACACGAAAAATATTAGTTGTGTAAATGCTGATGCAATTAATAAAGTATTAATTACAACTGCAACAGAAAGTGTTTCAGCCATGTTTAATGCTTCTTTAAATCTAAACCTGTAGTATGTAACACATCAACAGGTGTTGTATCAATAATAGTTAGTGCACAGGACAACACAGACCTTTCACTTGCAGTGCACACACTGATTTATGATACTCCAACTTAGTTGATGACTGCTGTAATGTTGTGTTCAGTGATTATCATAACTGGTTTAAAATGTAATAAAAATTATGTGAGGGATTAATTTGAAATAATTAATGATTTTAAAATGAAAATTCTGCAGCATAATAATTTAATATGGTGGTAAAGGGAAATTAGCTTTTACTAACCCATGTACAATCACATAAAAAATAAGCATGTTCAAATAATTTAAAACAAACTGAAATCTACTAGATATAACATTGAAGGTGAGTGCAGCCTCAAGGTTTGGGATGGTTATCAAACAACAAACCATTCAGGAGTGTTACCTACAGATTTACACTCTGATAAAAATTGCATTAGATAACCATCCATATTCAGTTGTTACTGATCAGGGGTTTGTTCATTTGATGAAGAAAGCACAACCATGAAACAAATTACCAACCAAACCTCAATTTTTTGTGAGAAAATTGTCACAGATATACATGAAAGATGCAAGATTTTAAATGCTGATGAAAGGCCTTTATCTTAGGTCAGATATTTGGTCACACTCAGCAACACAAAACAGAATTGCTATTTTCACGGGACACTGAAACATATGGATTTCAAGATTTTTTTGGAATTCATATAAGTGATGCAATAGAAAAACTGTTAGAAGACTTAATTGATACATGGAAAATCAAAAAAGAAAAATATTCACCCCCAAATAAAAAGTAATGGGTAGAGAACTGTAGTTGGTCTTAAAACAGTCAGTAAAAAAATCTTTATATATGTTAACAACTTGGCTCTTACCTATTTAAAATCAATGGCTATACAAAATCATTTAACTATGCCTCAAAAAGAAATAATGTACAAAATGGAATTAAACATACTTGAAAGCTTTATGGAACAGAAGAGAGAAATATGCCTCTGTATTAATGACAACAAAATCACCAGCCTCAACAATAATTAATGGTTCCTATTACCAGCATTTAACAAAAAACAAACAAACACACAATGCATTAGCTTCAAATACCATCAACATCAAGAGGAAATGTGGGATGTTGGACATTAAAATTTATATAAATTTTTGACTCGTCCAATATTTCAAAAAACAAAATGAAGCTCACAGAATACTATATCTTCAGGTACGAGGTAGCTATAGGTAAGAAAACTCCACCCAATGAAACACAATTCAATTTCTAGTTAGTCCCATTAATTTTACAGCATAATAACAGAGAACAATTTACTCTTAAGTTTCTTTTAATAAAAGACAAATTCATGAAAAGTTTCTTCAGCAGAATAATCCTACTTTAGAGCTTTATAATTTATCTTCCATGACTCTCCCATATCATTTTGAAACATAAAAACTTTGCCTCCAGCAAAGCCATCTGTCTGTCACCTTAAATAGGCCAAATACTGATTGTCTGTTACAATCCAAAGATTAATGTAAACCGTTATTGTTAATTTACAATATACAATTCTCAAAGATTTTGTAATCATAATATTTTCAAAAGTCATGTTTTTTTTCTCTATCACTTTTATATACAATTAATCTATATATACACACAATGCTTCTTCTTACCAAATTATTTTTTCGATACTGATACCGAAGCATGGCAAAGTACTTCAAACCAAATGAACCACCAACAATCAAAATCTGGAGGAAAGAAGAGAGAAAATGATTACATGTCCATATTTTAAACTTCTGTCTTTTAGTCTTACTTCCTGCAGTTTTCTAGAAAATATCATGTGTATTTATGAGTTCCAGGGCTCTAACAGTTTTCAAAAAACCTCACTCATGTCCCTTATCCCCTTCTCTACTTCAACAAAAATATTTCAAGATTTTAATACCTGATCTTAAGATTTCCCTTTAATTAATCCAAGTTGTCTTTCTTTTATGATATTATACTAAATGATTTTTTTTTTATAAATCAGATAAGATTTTTTTAACTATATAAATAAAGCCAACTGCCATATGGTACAACTTCTATGGTAATTCTTATCAATCCTTTTAAAAATACAATTAACATTAGCAACTTTCCAATTCTAAGGCACCTTCTCACTGTCTAATGACTTGCCAAAATTGTAAAAGAGGGACTGGGAGAATTCTCTAGGAAGTTGATGAGAAAAAAGATAAGTGTATAAGTATAACAAAGATCCCTAAATCCTTTAAGACAATGTATAATGTATGCTAGCTAATAATACGATTTTGGAAGAACAGACTAAACAAATGACAAAAAAGAAAGCCCATTGGTGTAATGGAGAAAGAAATGACCATTAGATATAATGGAGGAGGGGGAGGGAAAGAATGACATACTAGAATTTAAAATTCCTAAGAAAAATGTAAATGTTAAAACCCAAAATAAAATTTCTTACAAGTATATTAATGTACAAAATGAAAGTGAAATGGTACCAAAGTACAGCTGTTTTTCATGAAAAATAGGATAGGATCACCAAAACAACAGTAGAGTCATTGGTAAACAAGGGACTAAAGTCTATATCTAAAAATCTCCAAAAGAAATCTCAAAACTCTTAATACCATTTCTTACAAGTACACTAATGTACCAAATGAAAGTGGACTGACAGGCTAGAAATACCAAAAATTAGTTTACTTGTAAGAAACATTAAGCTGTTCTTATGAATTTTGAGTTATAAGCTTTCATTCTTTTTTTTTCCACTACATTCAACAGGCACTCTTTTCTCCATTATAATCAATGGGCATTTTGTTTTATCATTTGTTTAGTCTGTCCCAAAATATTCTGGTTTTAGGTTGTATACATAGAAATACATTATTAAGCACAAGTTGAAGTAGGTCATCAGTTCACTATAAAATACTGGTTAAACCTCACTAGGAATACTGTGTCAGTTTTGGCTACTTTATATATTAAAAAAAAAATTTGGAGAATGTTTAGAGACCAGCTGTTATAGGGATAGGTTAAAATTTCTTATTTTCTCTTAAGAGTAACAGGTGATCTCATTGGAGTTTACAAGATCATCTGGGGAATAAACAGGATAAATGCCTCTTATTCTTTACACTGTATACTGAAAACAATAATAAACAAGATGACACAAGTTTAAGATTTGGAAACTACAGGCTTTGCTCAAGTTACGAATGTCAGACAGTTTTATTTTTCTACCACTGTAATAGAATGATAAGCTTGGAGTATGAGTTGCCATTAGTAAGTTTTTGGATGTTACTGGTTATGAAGAGAATACTGCTGCTGCTTTACAAAATAATTTGGATCATTTGGTGAGTTTGGCAAATAAATGGCAGATGGCTATTAATTATAATAAGTGCAAGGCAATGCATGTGGGATATTATACTTTGAATAATGATTATAATTTTGATGGGAATAACCTTTAACAGTGTTATGAGAGAAAAGCATCTTGATGTTCTACATGATTAGTCTCTTGAGCCATCCAAACAATGTAAAGTTGCTAGTGGCAAGGCAAATAGGATTTTAGGTTGTACCCACAAAAATAATAAATAAAAGTCTAAAGAGGTTATAATTTAATTGTGTCAGTCATGTTTGGGGTATTGTGTTCCTTAAGAAGGACACTGAACTGTTGGAAAGGGTTCAGAGAAGGACTATTAAAATGGTAACTGAAACAGAAAGGTTGTGATACAAAGACAGTTTAAGATTTATGAAATTGTTTTCTCTTGAAAAAAAGGAAAAGTTATGATGGGTCTGACTGAAGTATTTAAAATCGTGAAAGGAACCGATAGTGTTGATGCATCATCTTTTCTCATATTTAATGGAAGAATGGTAGGACTAGAGAACCTAAGTACAAATTTTGGCAGGGTAGGAGTCATCTGCATCTAAGATAGCTTTATTTTTGTAACAGAGTGGTTGGTCTTTGGAATGACTTGACTTCTGATGTAGTGGATGCAGTTAATTTAAGGGAGTTTAAGCAAATATTTGAATAATATTGGGCTAGTTTTGTTTTACTTCAAAGTTTAATTTAGTGTAAGAGATGGTGAAGATAAACCAACT